ACATTATAACAATGTATAACTCATTGTATAACAACGAAAAGAAAACTCAGATCAAAAAATGGTTCAGGACTTTCCCAATTGGATTGTTGTTTTATATCTGATAGTGCGCTTCATATATATTTTTTCAGTTACACCCTGTATATACAGAGCGTCTAGTAAAGATTGTGCCAACGCTCTTGAGCGGATAGAGCACAGTAAACGGAACAGAAAAGTCCTTTACCATTTTGTGATTTTTGTAATAATTATTGAGAAATTAATTGAAAAAGATCGACCAATTTGTGTGAGTATAAGCGCGTAGTAAGAAGGAAACACCCATTGATGTGTGGTTGCTAGGATGCGAGAATCCATCGTTATGTACCGCTCGTACGTAACCGTCGTCATTTGTAGAGAGCTTCTTCCAAAACTTCGTCGCGTGTCTTTTGCGACCGCAAACTTTTGGGTTGTCTCTGGGCCTTTCTTTCTCGCCGCGCGCTTATACTCACGTAGATTGGTCGATCTTTTGTAATTAAATTTTCAATAATTATTACAAAAATTGCAAAATGATAAAGAACTTTTCTGTTCAATTTACTGTGCTCTACCCGCTCACGAGCGTTGGCACAATCTTTACCAGACATCCTGTATATTTTACAGTTATATTATGTTTTGCAACTATCGATTTTTAAATTTCGAATAAAAGATGTATTAAAAAACTCATTTACTTTTATCAATAAAATTCTAAATAAATTTCATAATTTTAATTTATACATTTTATACATAGGAGGGAGGGAGGGAGAGAGAGAGAGAGAAAGAGAGAGAGGGGGGAGGGCGGAAGGGAGGGAGAGAGAGGGGGAGAGAGGGACAATTTCTAATCTATTTCTTAATTGCTCCGGTAACATGTTCCTTAAAATCTTAAAAATAAATATACACACAGTATAGTATAGCCTCTGTTTTATGGACATAAACTGTAGCGCTTGCAGCATACGCTCCACTTTGGTATGTCTATCATATTGCAATATGATCCTCATGGCCCGGTTTTGTGCTTTTTGCAATTTACTCAGCTGTGTTTCTCCCATATCAAATAACAGCGTCGCACAATACTCAAAGTGAGGCGCAATGACTGTCTTATATACAATACATTTAGTGTATACCAATATGTAATTACCTATTCTATTCAAAGAACTCGTTTTTTCCCTATTTTGTTTAGCATATAATCACAGTGGTTCTTAAATCGTAGTCTATCGTCAATAATTATGCCTAGGTATTTCATTTTTTCCACACGTTCAATCTCAGTTCCATCCAAACATTTCAATGTAATATTACCTCGCAGTTCTTTTCTTATACTTCTGACTATAATATATTTCGTTTTCCCTGCATTGATTTTTAACTTATTTATATTCATCCACTCTTCTATTATAGTGAATGCCATATTCATTTTGACCTCTAATTCCGCGCTGCTTTTTCCAGTTACATATATTTGTAACAGGCCGCTTTCGCAAGATCGGATAGTTCGGTAGTGATCAGGGCTCGTGAAAGGGTGAGACACAACTGTAGACGTTGGATGTAATTTAGTCTGTTTATTTGTCTCTTCGAGCATGTACTTTGCAGTACATATACGATTCCACATGGATTTGCAACTTTTCATGCAAAGCGCTGTTCCACGCAAACTTATTTGTCTAGTTTTTTGGTAGTGGAGCCCCCGCAGAGGGGCGGAACCCACTGTTTCTACGCATACACTTTTCCACGCGAAGCGAGGTTCCACATGGGTTTGCAACTTCCCACGCAAAGCGAGGTTCCACGCAAACCTATTTGTCTAGTTTTTTGGTAGTGGAGCCCCCCGCAGAGGGGCAGAACCCACTGTTGCTACGCATACACTTTTCCACGCGAAGCGAGGTTCCACATGGGTTTGCAACTTTCCACGCAAAGCGAGGTTCCATGCAAAACTATTTGTCTAGTTTTTTGGTAGTGGAGCCCCCCATAGGGGGGCGGAACCCACTGTTTCTACGCATACATCTTTCCATGCGAAGCGAGGTTCCACATGGGTTTGCAACTTTCCACGCAAAGCGAGGTTCCACGCAAACCTCTTTGTCTAGTTTTTTGGTAGTGGAGCCTGCCGCAGAGAGGCGGAACCCACTGTTTCCACGCATACACTTTTCCACGCGAAGCGAGTTTCCACGTGGGTTTGCAGCTTTCCACGCAAAGCGAGGTTCCATGCGAAACTATTTGTCTAGTATTTTGGTATTGGAGCCCCCCGCAGGGGGGCGGAACCCACTGTTTCTACGCATACCCCTTTCCACGCGAAGCGAGGTTCCACATGGGTTTGCAACTTTCCACGCAAAGCGAGGTTCCACGCAAACCTATTTGTCTAGTATTTTGGTAGTGGAGCCCCCACAGAGGGGTGGAACCCTCTGTTTCCACGCATACACTTTTCCACGCGAAGCGAGGTTCCACATGGGTTTGCAACTTTCCACGCAAAGCGAGGTTCCACGCAAACCTATTTGTCTAGTATTTTGGTAGTGGAGCCCCCACAGAGGGGTGGAACCCTCTGTTTCCACGCATACACTTTTCCACGCGAAGCGAGTTTCCACATGGGTTTGCAACTTTTCACGCAAAGCGAGGTTATATATTGGGACTTCTACGCAGTACTGTCAGCCTTTGTAGTTTCACCTATACAGCAATTGGTTTGAGATATATGTTTAACTTTGATTTTCTCAAAAACTGTCACTTGTACGGTAAAAATGAATAGGACATAAAATGTTTGTCTCTGTGAGATCTAAAACATTTGTCTAATACCAGACTCTGGTGCCGAGATGGATTTCGGCAGCCTTTTTATACCGAGAACCTAAGTCCTTAAAAAAGATCGATGGATAACATAAAAAAATTATAAAAAATATAAGTTAAATAAAAAAGTTCTCAAATAAAATTTTTTGTAAACTTAATTTATAGCAAAGGGAGAAAACGTTTTTTAAAAATAAACATTTTCATTGTTGGTGTTTTATTAGCAAAACGGGATATTAATATTATTTTTTTTACATATAACATGTACATCTAATGTCCTTTTATCACATTTGATTCATTTGTCTTTAAATTGTAGCATATAATGTATGACATTTTGTTTTAATATGTAAATTGTTATACGCATAAATGCATATATACATATATAAATTCAAAATAAAAATATAATATATAAAAATATATAGAAATATAATATATAATAAATATTACATTTTATATATTCATATAAAGAATTTAATTATGAACCTATATTACAGTTTATATTAAAATCTTATATACAATTTTATTTCAGAGTTAGTTATTGTTTATGTTAAGTAAGTTATTGTTTACTTTTTCTACTACTAATCATGTTTTATATTTCTATAAATTAATTTATTTTGTTATATCTGGTTTTATATTATTGTACAAAAATATATATCAATATCAATATATTTTTAATGCTATTTATTATTCACTATTATATTATAATTAATAAATAAATAACTTTTGTATTTGTCTTTTTTTTGAAAATTGCATTAACAAAATAATGTCAAACAAGGAATGACAATCGTGCTATTTCTCTATCCCGTTGATATGATATACGAAGTATCATCGATATTATATAGTAACGAAGCAACTAGTTACCAAGTCTAACAGGCACCCTTTGTCTTACATCTTGCGCATTTGTTCACTCTGTTACCTATTATTCTACTATTATTATTGATCAACAAACAATATTTAATTGCACGTATAATTTTAACTATAATTTAAACATATATATGCACATATGTATATATACAAATATAAAATTCTCAAAAAATAGGCGCCTGTTAGTCTTGTTGCATTACTGCTTTCTGCCACGAGAGGCCAGAAAGCATTTTCAGATTGTATCTCGACCGTAAAGCGATACGTTAGAAGAACAAGGACAGCACGCGATTGTAGCTCCTTGTCTAGATTTATCTCTCAACGATCGCATCCATGTGCTCAACGTATCGATGTTTGTGCCTTCACGGATACTACACACATATTCAATGAAAGAGAGACAAAGACGGCGCGATCATCTCTCTTTGTCAAGCGATCTGTGTACTACCACTATCGAAAAGATCGAAAAGTAGATGTAGGACGGATATGAACCAAATGACCGACAGTATCGAAAAGTGGATGTAGCACGGACATGAACCATATGGAGATTTGACCGACAGTACCGAAAAGTGGATGTGGGTAAGTGTTTCCAATTCCTAAAAGTGGATGCACGGTGCTGCTCTACGGCCTAGAAAAAGCGTCCAACGAAAATCGCCGGCATTGCCTCTCTCAGGCTTCTCTCTGGTACATGTACATGTATATTACTCTCTCACGCATGAAAGAGACAAAGATAGTACGATTATGTCTGTCCTTGTCATGTAAGATTGCAGCTCCGTCTATCGCGACATCACGCAACTAATCTACTGCTCTGTTTTACTCTTTTTCCTCAATCTCGCACGCACACATCTGCATGAAAGCATTTCGAGTGAAAATCTTTTTTACTAGACTAATAAACTTATTTCTAAGAGTTCACTAATATTCCTTCATGTTATCCCGAGGCGGGGAGCTATATCTTGTGCACGAACAAACTGCAGAACTTTTATATTAAATAAATATTGTTACAACTTGACGCAAGAAGTCGATAACAACACTGTAATTGTTTAACTTTTCTTTGATTTGTTATATGAAATATAGCTCCCCGCCTTCGTTATTATCAATACTTTAACTGTGGAAAAGGATTTATCAATCTGTGTAGCCAAAAAAAAGATTTTCACTTGAAACGACTTTCGCGGTTTGTCGGTAATTTTGGATCCCCTTAAATTAATCAGGTTAAATTATATTAATAAATTAATCCTCGTATAAAGAAAGTAATGAAAGAAAGAAAGAAGAGAGAAAGAGAGAGCCCCGAGTCAAGCCCTGTCAAAAGTCCTGTCAAAAGTTTAATCAATTCATTTTTCGAGAAATTTCCTGATCGATCGATTTCTTAGAAAGATACAATGATCAAGAGTCAATGTCGCTATCTCTCTCGAATGGCATTTAATATATGTACACAATTCAGCGGTAAACATGCTCGTTCAATCTTCAATCGTACTAATTTACGAACATACTTCTTGAGACAATTAGCAGTGATTAACAGCATACCGATGATAGTGCACACTTGCGTAAAAACAAATACAAGTTTCATGGTAAATCGCAGCAAAAATCCCATATCATCCACCGTCTATTGTCCATTCCTGCAAATTAGCATTGCCTTGCCTTGAGTAAGGTTAACGTCTCATAGCGAGAGCAGTCGGGTCTCGGCACACATATATATGTACATGCATACGTACATACATATACGCGTATGGATTTTGGGCAAGTGTGCGGATGCAATGGTGAATAATAAGAGTTCCGCAGAAATTCACTTTTGAGTGATAAAACGACGTTATTTAACACCAGAGAAGGTCAATAGAGGTGTATAAAGTTTAAGTAAGAGAGAGAGTTGCGAGAGTTATGTAAGTATCGTGTAACAACACTGAGTCGCAAATTTGACAGAAAATGAAACATGTGCTCTGATGTTTATAACATCACGTCAATATGATGATTTATGATGATACGCTTTAACGTCACACGTGGAACGTGTTGCGATGTAAAACGCCGCGCCTTGCGTTTAACTCGCCTACCGTTGTAACGCATGACAGATCTCAAATGCCGATGATCATGGCGCAGGAGGAAGGTGAGAAGTACCCGATTCACAGATGTATATTTCAAGGCAGCATCAAGACACTGAGTTCCTTAATTAGAACACACGATATTGCTGAAAAGGATAAACAAGGTGTGACATTGTAATACAATTGCATTCCACAATATACTTCGTATAGTTCTCGTTGATATCTAGTACACGAGAAAAATTAAAATAATTAGATTCTGAAGTAAGAAATGTAGTACATTTTTATATTTATCTCTGTGCGTTCTCTGTTGCAGGGAACACACCTTTGCATTTAGCTGTGATGTTAGGAAGGAAAGGTATGGAAATCTTTATACATTTTATTTCGCTATACACATATTAGTATGTAAACCGCATCAAAATTAACATTTAATCAGATATCAGAAATATGACACGTTACAAGTTAATTATGCAATAATTATGCATAATTGATCAAGCAATTAGATTTTTTTATCTAGATGTTTTGTTTGAGAGAACTAATGCCATGAAATATTAAAAATGTTTCAAATCGATAACTAGAGGGAATCAACTTATATTTTGTTTTATATTATAGAATGTGTTCAATTATTGCTTGCACATGGTGCACCCGTAAAAGTGAAGAATCTAGCTGGCTGGAGTCCACTGGCTGAAGCAATCAGTTACGGATAACTACTAATTCTAACACTTTTTCAAATATTGGTAACATATTTATAGGCCTAAATTCACTTGCTTTTCTAGCTTTCTCTATTTTTGGAATCGGTATTATTGTAGACGTTTTCCAACCTTTTGGACAGCAACCTTCCTTCAAAAAATTATTTATTATATCAACAAATTCCTCTTTTATTATGCTAAATACTGCCTTTAATATATTGCTAGTTATTCCCACCTCTGTACCTTTCTTTTTCGATAGACCCATAACAATTTCCTGTAAATGCTCTATACTAATCATCTCCAAATTTTCCATAATTCTCGCGTTTCAATAACATAAATAATTCTTTTACACGCACTTTTACTTCCATTTATAGATTTGGTAAATATTTAGATTAACGTACCTACCTCCATTGACTTTGACCTTGACATATGTTGTCAAAGTCACTGTCCTGAGTAACATCCAAGAGGTTTTAGCCGTCGCTCGTTGTTCGTTAAAAAGTTATTAACAAAAAAAATTTTACAAATATAGCAGTTATTTTAAGTATCCAAATGTGGAAATAGTACATGTATAATCAAAGAAAAGTTATTTAAAGGGGTAAATCGTTAAAACTTTTTGTTAAAACAGAAAATAGTTGCTTTGGTCCAAAACGAAATTTGTAATTGTCCTGTTCCGCATGGGTTTTTTGGTTTGGGTTAGGTTATATCTTCCGGAAGTGGAGCCCCCCTGCAAGGGGGGAGAAGCGGAACCCACTGCGTCCACGCATACACTTTCCAACCCATACAAGAATTGTGGGATAGATCTCGCTTCACGTAGAAAGTTGAAAACTATTCTCATATACATGTTGTTTGAAAATTACGTACATTTCATCTAAATTCTTTTGTTAATAACTTTTTAATAAACAACGAGCGATGGCTAAAACCTTTTGGATGTTACTCAGGACAGTGACCTTGACAACATATGTCAAGGTCAAAGTCATTGGAGGTGGGTACGTTATTCTAAATAATTACCTTAGTTTAACTATTGCATTTCTTTCAATTTTAAATTGCAATCAATTTTGTTCCGTGTCAGCATACAATGCCTTCCTATATGCTTCATCTTTTTTAGCCGCTGCTTCCCTTATTTCATCCGAAAACCACTTTTTCCCTTCCCATATTCTCGGAATTCTAAAATTTTACCTAGGTGCTGTAGCGTCCAACGCAGTTACTACACTCCCAACAAATTTCTTCGCTCTCACGCTGACATCCATATCTTGGTTTTTCTCTAATTTATTTTCCACTAGTTTAAGAAATGCATCTATATTAAACTCTCTATATTTCCTAACATTAAGTTCTCTGTATTTATTATCAATTTTATTCGCATTCAGTTCAACTTTTAGCCACGCACGATCCGTTATTTTAGGTTCATGCATTACCTGCACTTCTATTTTATTATTAGCAAAAATTAAACTTATAATTGTCTTACTATCTTTCGTAATTCTCGTCGGTTTATTTACATATTGTTTCATGTCTAAGCTCAACATGTCGTTTGCAGCTTCATTGTATAAAACGAATCTAACATGATATCTATATTAAAGTCTCCTATTATCATACATTCTCTCCGTATTATTAACTCTTCTATTATATCCTTCAGAAATCTCACGAAATCACCATGCGGTGCACTCGGTGAATGATATATTACTATTATTATTTCTCTATACAATTTTTCTTTCACCTCAATCGCAGCACACCAACAATTCGATTCTAATTTTTTTACTAATACTACTTCATATTTAACATCATTCCTTATATATAAAACAACCCCTCCTGTATTTCTATTTTCAGCATCACATCTAATTATACTATAACCTGGTACGTTCACTTCACTGTCTTCAATTTCAGCAGTCAATCTTGTCTCTGATAACGCTATGAATGCCGAATTTATTTTCTTCATAATCTGATGCCGTATCTCATCTCTATGCGCCATCAAACTTTGCGCATTTGTATACAATATTATTTCCGCTTTCTTCTGTAATTGCTATTTCGCATCCTCCCAGCCGGCTCTCCTCTTCTTCTCCTGTATCGCCCTTTTAAATGTTGGACATTCCGGGCTAAGGGCGTCGTGTTCATCACTTATCTTCAGGTTGTATGTTCGAATTTTAAACATACAATTACACATTTTTTCTTTGTCGCCGTACATTCAATCGTCTTATGATTTCCTGCACATATGTGGCATGTTTCATCTTGTAACGATGCATTCCCCCCATCGTTACTAAACCGTATCCGGCCGCCGATCCGCCGGAAGTCCGCCGTCCGACGAACACCGGTCGGGCAAATGCGGAGGCGCTGAGCGCCCATTTTTAAATAACAACAGAAACGCGTAAACATCTAACCGCCGTTAGGCGCGCGAAAACATCGAGAACCGACGACGCGCTCGGGTAACCGCTCGACCGTTACTATCCTAGAACGCTCAGAGAGAAAGAAAACGGAGTTGGGAGTACTCAGCCTCCGCCGAGAGTTTGCGTCATTTCCGAGAGCAATTCGTCTGAAAACCTTTAAAGAGAGGTAAACGGGAACAACCGTACTCGTCCTTGTCGAGAGTTCTCGACACCTCGCATAAATCCGACCACCTGCGTGCAACGGCGAGCTTCCAATGGTGGGGAGTTCCCTGCCATCGACGGGTGTTCTCGTCGACCGTTGCACTCCCGAAATTCCGCGGGGAAAGACCATCCCGAATTAATACAGCACGCGCTATACGCACCTAGCTAACACTTCTGCGACCGCCATTTAGTCATCCGGACTCGCCATTGATACGGCGCGCTAAGTCCCGCGCTGAGGGATGATCCACATCCCTACCGATTGACATACGCGATCAATACATACGCGTCGAAGAACCGCCCATCGGCCCGACCGAAATTACGGCCCGGGAGCTAACGGCATCTACCGAAATCCCGGCCCGCGATCAATAATCGATATCCGATCGCACCGACGAAATATCGAACCGCACCGCACATACGTGCGTTGCATTAGATGCACCGCACCCGACACAACCGTACCGCCGTACATCCTGCATCTTACACGCATTTACATTATATATATATTCACACATACTCACTCGATTATAATCATTTATACATCGCACACCGCCGTATCGCCGTACAGGCGACCGCTTCACACACACCGCTGCACACCGACACGCACTCACACGCTTGTATCATTCGCTCATACATAACGATCTTCCATTCGATATTCTGCGCACAACTAATTATTATTATACATTTGCGCGCTCACTCACTCGTCATTCGTCTCGCACGCACACCAATACACACATACATCTATACGCGCTCACACACATAAACACACACGCTGTACATATGCACCACAACACGCAATAAATTATATTTTTCCTAACATCACTTTCGTTCGTCTCTCGATACTCTTTCACGAGCCCCGGATCCCGACCGAGTTATCCGTCACCGCCTCGCGAAAGCGGTTTATTACAATCTCACGTACAATTTTTTGCAATATAGTATTCCCAGCATTTAATACATCTTTTCTTAAAGCAGCTTAAGCATTGTAAGATAAAATGATGAGGAAGCAATGTGCAAGTTTCTAATTTGCACAACTCTACTTGTTTAACTATTCTCTTCACTATTCGCATTTGGAATCCATCATTTATTGCATGAATTCTATTCTGCTTCTTGTTTGTAGTTATTAAGTCATCATCATCCAACTTTATTTCTTCTTCGCTGACATTGATAATTTTTATTTTGGGCTTCATCTGCGATGATTCCGTAACTTTGAAATTTTTTCCCAGTTTGTCCTGCACTGTGGCTTTCAACTTTTTCATTTATTCTCCAGTTTCACAACCCATGATCACTGTTCCCTTGCTTCCTTTTTTTAGCTTCGTTATTCTCATTCTTTTCAACTCTTCTAGCAGTTCCTGCTTAACATTTCCCAATTTTTCTCGAACTAGTTTCTTGACCATGATTTTAATTTCCTTCTTACATGCTGTTTCATCTTTTATTTCTTTTACAATTTTCACCAGCCAATCTATTTTTAAGTCAATAATCTATGATCCACTCACTCCTGATATTTTACTTCCACTGCTTGGCGTCGTAAACGAACCTATAGATCCTGTAGATCCTAGTCTGTCCCTGCTGCTCCCAGCCACTGCCGATGCCTTCTTCATATCTGCTTCACTTTCAATTGTAAATCTGTCAAATGAGCCAGAACATGGTATCAATTCTTGGTTTCTATCGTAAATCCTATGCTTGCTTACACATCCTGGATAGTAAAATAGCTTAATACGATTTACCTGATAACAAGACTTGCATGTCACTACCTGATTTTTTATTGTCTTTTTACATGCCGAGCATCGATACTCGGCATATTCATCGTCCATGCCGATAATTATCGGCTGAAACCGTTAATATCAGCATAAGCGATCAGTCACTTCTGTTCCACTGTCACACGTCAGCACTTTTGTGTCCACCTTTAATGTCTACCTGTCGTGCGAGACTTTGGTATCCTAAACAGGAAATGCACTGATCACGCCCACAAATCAGCATATCCCGGCTCGATAACACTCATGGCTAATGCCGGTCTATGCCGCTATGACTTGGATAACTTTCTATCACTCCCCGTAACTATTTAACCGTTTAAAAGTTATTACTTTTGCGGAGCGATGTTTGACACGTCTTCTCCACTGCAGAAAGAAAAAGAGGGTGAGGGAGGGGGGAAGAGAGGGGGAAGGGGGAGGGAGAGAGGATAGTTTATCGAATAGTATGATGACAAATCTGTATTTGTTGGACAAATGTCCGAAATATTTTAACGATAAAGACATTAATTATCGCGCATACGAAGTTTTTCAATGTCACGCGGTACATGGTTATTGCATAGCGCATTAGGTATAACGAATCTAAGGGGCTCCGCACAATAAAAAGAATAAGGAACAGGGAATAAAGAACAGAGTACAACCGCATTCCCTCCAATGCGGTTGTTCTCTGTTCTCTATTCCCTGTTCCTTATTTTTTTTATTG